GTAAATAATTTAACTATGTTTGCTGATGATAATACTTATTTAACTAATGAATCGAGTGTACGGGATAGTGTTACGACAATGCAGGAAATGATTAATCATTTTAAAAACTGGTTTTCAGTAAATAAGTTGTGTCTTAATACGTCAAAAACGGTTTTCATAAATTTTACTCCTCGGACATCTGTATTAAATGAGACGCATCTTTTGAAAATTGATCATAAATCCATAGCTCAGGTTGAGCACACTAAATTTCTTGGATTGTACATAGACAATAAATTAAATTGGAAAACACATATAGATAATCTTTCTAATAAGCTCACACCAATGTTTTATGCGTTATTTAGATTAAAATCTGTCACTAACACGACAACTCTTATATCCTTCTATCATTCTCAATTTGTTGCTCGTATGCGATATGGTATTATATTTTGGGGTTCTTCTAGTTATATTAGTAGAATATTTAAAATACAAAAAAAAGCTATTAGACTTATAGTTGGTGTGTCACAAAGAACATCATGCAAAAAATATTTTAAAAAGCTAAAACTGTTGACTCTGCCCTGTCTATTTATTTACGATGTCTTAATGTATGTTAAATATAATTTAAATCAGTTTACAATCAATGGAGATTTTCACAATTATAATACACGAGTCAGATCATCGCTAGTTGTCCCTGGGCATAACTTGTCACTATATGAGAAGAATCCTATCTATGTTGGTATTAAGTTATATAATAAGCTTTCCCCAGAAATAAAAAACATACAGAGCATGCAGTTGTTTAAAAAAAAACTTGAAAAAATATTTATTAGAGAACGTTTTTTATAGCACTCATGAATTTCTTAGATATGCGTAAATTGTTATGATTGCACCCCACTAAGATTTTGTTCATTCGTTTTAATATTTCTTTTAGTGAATTGTTAATTCTTTGTTATTTTAATTCTTCTTTTAATATGTGCATACTACCGATTGTTGATGTCGTTGTAATATTTGTATTTTGACTTTTCCTATACTATGTTACATGGTCTACTGGAATAAAAATTATTATTATTATTATTATTANTAATACTTATTTAACTAATGAATCGAGTGTACGGGATAGTGTTACGACAATGCAGGAAATGATTAATCATTTTAAAAACTGGTTTTCAGTAAATAAGTTGTGTCTTAATACGTCAAAAACGGTTTTCATAAATTTTACTCCTCGGACATCTGTATTAAATGAGACGCATCTTTTGAAAATTGATCATAAATCCATAGCTCAGGTTGAGCACACTAAATTTCTTGGATTGTACATAGACAATAAATTAAATTGGAAAACACATATAGATAATCTTTCTAATAAGCTCACACCAATGTTTTATGCGTTATTTAGATTAAAATCTGTCACTAACACGACAACTCTTATATCCTTCTATCATTCTCAATTTGTTGCTCGTATGCGATATGGTATTATATTTTGGGGTTCTTCTAGTTATATTAGTAGAATATTTAAAATACAAAAAAAAGCTATTAGACTTATAGTTGGTGTGTCACAAAGAACATCATGCAAAAAATATTTTAAAAAGCTAAAACTGTTGACTCTGCCCTGTCTATTTATTTACGATGTCTTAATGTATGTTAAATATAATTTAAATCAGTTTACAATCAATGGAGATTTTCACAATTATAATACACGAGTCAGATCATCGCTAGTTGTCCCTGGGCATAACTTGTCACTATATGAGAAGAATCCTATCTATGTTGGTATTAAGTTATATAATAAGCTTTCCCCAGAAATAAAAAACATACAGAGCATGCAGTTGTTTAAAAAAAAACTTGAAAAAATATTTATTAGAGAACGTTTTTTATAGCACTCATGAATTTCTTAGATATGCGTAAATTGTTATGATTGCACCCCACTAAGATTTTGTTCATTCGTTTTAATATTTCTTTTAGTGAATTGTTAATTCTTTGTTATTTTAATTCTTCTTTTAATATGTGCATACTACCGATTGTTGATGTCGTTGTAATATTTGTATTTTGACTTTTCCTATACTATGTTACATGGTCTACTGGAATAAAAATTATTATTATTATTATTATTATTATTATTATTATTATTATTATTATTAAAGATAAGTCGGGTCAGGTCGGACTCATTTATCCCCACTCTTACTTTATCTGTTGTTTGGGGGGTAGACAGCTGCAGCATGCAGGAAAGAAGCATGGCGACGCAAATATTTTGTTTCATTTGCTGTGAAAAACCTACCCAAGTAGGATACAGTTATAAAATATTTCAGAAATACATGAAATTCCCGTACCTGGACGTTTTCAAGAAGAACTTAACTCACATTATTTAATTTTTCAAATATAAAGTAATAAGAAAGTAATAAATTATTAATATGAGGAGTAATGTAAAAGTAATATGAAATTATTAATAAAAATATTTCGTGTTTTCTGCACTGCAAAATTAGCAATACATACAGAAATAAACTTGACCAGCTTTTAAAAAGGAAACAAAGTTTACTTAATTTTTTTAAACTAATAAATTGACTGTAAAAAATAGCTAGGAACTTCTGCATTTAATGCAGGTAAATGCATTAATTTAGAGCGATCTTATCATTTTGGGCGCAGCGGTTGCGGTTGGCAGTTTATGCATTTTCATGACTCTGCCGAAGCTTTAGCAACATTAAACGATTGGCAGAGTTAATTTTTTTGTTCTTTTAACTCGTAAGCTATTTGTTTTTTTGTTCTTTTATCTCGTAAGCTATTTGAGAAAAAAATTTCAGCCTTGTACTAATAAGTCAAAAAAGTATATTTTTTTAACATCCTACGTGGGCGGCAAAGTTTTGAAGACAACTCTTCCAACATAGTATCATTTTAAGGTGTACTTTATCACTTTATCACCATAAAGTTTGAGTCTGGTACTTATAAGACATTTACACATTATTTTTTACATGTTTCGAAAATTGTTATTAATGAAGGCAAACTCTAAAAGCTTGGCAGGGTTGCATTTTCTTTACCTGTAACATGCAAACAACAGAATAAAAAGAAATCAGTTTTGTACTCATTGTCGTGAAAAAAGTGTCGTTGCCTCCCGTACTATATGGTGAGCATGAAAAACTATTCTTGCAGTAGACATTAATGTTCAGGGTGTACCGTTCATGTTTCAAAGAAACTTAAAGTTCCTCATGGGAAAATAATATGTAAAGTTTTTTTCTAAGATGCCCTGTTTTCGAGAGACAGTGTGTTGAAGTTGTTACTTTTCAAATCGTTTTCCTTTATTAACTCTTAAATCGGCTAAAGATAAAAATGTCAAAATTTGTACACGAGTAAACATTAACTGTGCGTTAAGAATAACGTGCAAAGGGTTTCTTTCTGAATAGCAGTGTCGCCGATACAGGTAATTGGAGGGGTACGATCAAAAATAAAAATATGTTAAAAGTAGAAATTTATTACATTTTTAAACGGTTCTGAAAACTCTAAAGCATACTACAAAAAAAAGGTAACTTGTCGAAATTCGGTAGCATGTACCATTTTCCAGAAAAATTAAGTTGCATAGAAGGTAATTGGGGGACAATTTCAGTATCTACTGTAATATTTCGAGTTTGCACATTTTTATTTAATTGTGCAGCTGTTTTGTTCTGTATGTCTATGTACAAAATATAAAATTAGTTATAATTAATCACCATAATATGTTTATTTCGATTTACTTTTTTAAATGTTAGTTTACAACAAACTGAAACTTAAAATATTTTTTGTTTTTTTTAGTTGAACAATTTAACTGTTTGTGTGATATGTAAGAAATTAAAATTATAGTCTTAAATGAAATACTGTTGGTAGCTAAATGTCTTCAGTTCATTCAATGGTAAGGTCCTCTTTCAATTTAATATTTTGTTAATGTACTTGTGCCGCTTTATGTGAGCAAAAAAATGCAATTTCATTTTTCTCGAAAATGGTACATGCTACCGAATTTCGAAAAGTAGTAGTAGTGCAGTATCTTTTACAGAACCGTTTAGAAATGTAATAAACTTTTACTTTTAACATATTTTTTTCTTCTATTGTACCCCTTCAATTACCTGTATCGGCGACACTGCTCTTCAGAAAGAAACCGTTTGCACATTACACAGGTCAACAAGGGTCAAGAAGCAGACACACTAATATGCATTCCTGAAGGATTTTGGTGTGCTGAATCCGAATCTGGCAAAAAACACTGTATTCTTTTCCAAAAAACTAATACATATAATTTAAATGTACAAGACTCCCTCTTTCGAATGCCGTTGAGTTTGCTCAAATATCTTTTTTTTTTTCGTTGAAATATCACACTTTGAAATTTCTAAGTTTATCAGTTTCTTAATAACCGAAAATCTACTAAGGATCCCTTAGACGTCAAACAGTCGACTGCAGTTCAGAAACTTCATACTCAGAAACCTTCAATACATACGAACTCAAACTCACGAACTGCAAATCCAAAAATCCACAAACCCCAATCCCACAGAACCCGAACCTACAAACTCCAAGCTTACAAACCCTAAGCCCACCAACTTCAAACCCACAAACTGTATGGGTATGAAGTTTCTGAATTGCAATCGATGTTTACTCGTGTACAAATTTTGACATTTTTACTTAAAGATAATAAAGGAAAACCATTTGGAAAGTAACAATTTCATCAAACTGTATCTCGAAAACAGGGCGTCTTAGAAAAAAACTTTACATGAACTACCCTTATTATTTTTCCATGAGGAATTTGTACACAAATTTTTTTGAAACATGAACGGGACACTACATAAAAATAGATCGAGGATATGTTCATTTAATAAGTAATTTTGGCAGATGTTTATCGAAAAAAAAGGGATACTTTTAGTATTTTAATAATTATTATTTATGGTATTTGTTAAATTTTCAAATGTTGATATAAAATTAAATATGGCGATAAAAAATTTTACTCATATTTTTTTAATTCTTCATTCAGTGACAAAATCCTTACATTTTTTTAATACAAACCCTATATGTGTTTGTCTTTTTAGATTTTATCAAATTTATGAGAATATCAGAAGAAATAAATTTCACGGACACAAGCAATGTGAAAGCTACACAACGTTTAGAATCCTCGGCTATTTGTCATATCAGCAGTACATTGGCAGAAAAATTTAGTACGGTAAGTGGAAATTTTGCGGAAATTTGGTGGTACGATTAGTAACAACCTGGACACTGGTTCAAGATGTACGGTAAGCATAGTATTTCCTTGCTTTGTATATTCGAAAAATGTCTTATTGTAAGTTCGAATTTATTCGTAGAAATTGCGAATTTACGATTTGAATTTAAAATTCCGACTACAAGTAGGAAGATTGAAAAAAATTCGATTAATTGAGAATTAATTGAGAAATTTTCATTTCTTAGCTGTTACCAGCCGTCACACACTTTCGTAATGACTCCGAGGTTTAAAGAGGGGAAAGGTGCCAAAACCTCATCTAGCATTTTATTCCAGTCACCACACGAACCTTCGGAGTTTCTGCAAGCCGCCTTGGAAGAGGTTTTCTCACTGGCTCCGATGCAGACGTCGCAAGACGGTCATGTCGTTCATTGACTATGTCAAGAAAAAGATGAAGGTAGGAAATATTTATTTGAAAACTTAAAAATTTACATTGAGCTACCACTAACGACAATATGATAGATGTATAATTGTTTTTATTTGTTTGACAATCGAGTGTATTTTCATCCAAGGTTCTTGAAGATGTCTCATTTATTTCCAAACACCTTGTATATTTCTAAGCTGGATCTTTCAGGATGTAGTTATTAACGAAATAATAAAAACAAACAACTTACAGATGGCTTATTTGCAATAAGACGTATCCCACATTCTTTTCAAATAATAGGTTTTCGTGCCAGTTAATAGAACGACCCGTTCTGCACCACGCACTTGATAATTCCAATCGTAAGTGCGGAATTACACGGGTGTTATTTTAAAGTAACACATAAACAATTAACCGTGACAAGAAGATGACAAGTAACACAGCACGCGGCTCAATGTGGGTTACATCTTATTGGCAAATAAACCGTCGTTATACAGTATGTTCACGGTTAGAGTGGAAGAGAGGGAAAATATTTTTATTTTTCATTTTACGTGAAAAAGGCATTCTTCATTAAAATTTTTTGCTCGTCTTTAAAGTGTGATTGCCATGGAGAACTTTCACCTTGCATGTATGTACAGGGTGATCTGAAAATCGGTAAATATAAAAATCTTTCAAGAATAAACTGCCTATTTTAATAGAAACGGACGGAAAAAAATTTTTATTCATTTGTTAAAATGTTTGCTTATCTTTAAAGATATTTTAGACATTTTATTTTTTAAATCAGTAAGATTCCCAACCAAAATTTATTACTCTGTATTTAATTTTTTAAATAATTACTCTTTATTCAAAATTTATATGGAATGATGCTGGGGAAAAAAAATTGAGAAAAGGCTATTTTTGGAAAATGGAAAATTTTTCTAATGGGCTTGAAGTACTTGGACATAACGCGAATTTTTATTGTTTCAAATTTGGTGGTATACACCCTCATTGTAGGATGGAATAGCCGTGATTCATCGTTAGTTAATTAAATGTGAGTAATACAGATAAAACACGCTTCGATATAGAAAATAAAATCAAATTGATTATTTCTTTAGCTGTGGGTGTATTATTTCTTAAGAGAGGCTCTATAGCAAATAGACAACTACAAAACTAAATAGACCGATCAAAGTCGTTGCAATCAGCTGATTGGGAATAATGGGCAGATTTTGAAAATGAGACTACAGTGAGCAGGACCGTTCAGGGAGTATAACTGTCTGCCTTCTGTGTCTGTGTTCTGTGATCAACAGGTTATGTTTTCACTAATTTAAGTAATTTGTAAACCCTCGTCATAGCAATCGCTTAACAATAACTGAGTAACGGCTATCACTACACCATTTCTCCTGCAGGGATTCATAATAAACGAAAAATAAAAATATATTTTATTTTCTGTAATCTGTTGTAATAAATTGATAATAAAATATGATTTCTAACTAATTTATGAACACTGAAATCAAATCATAGTATTTTCATTGTACATTTAGGTTAAAAAAACACAACTGAAAACTTATGTTTTCTGTACGAAACAGACAGAACACGGGGGAAGGGAGAATAGCTAATAAAAACCCCTTTAGCGAATTGTTTGTCTAATGAATTTTCACCGAACTAGTCTGATCATTCGCTGAACACAGCCGAAATATGATTTAATGCACAATTAACAGTTTCTACCGTTTTAATGCAGTTTTTTTTATGAAATGGACTTACTTTGAGACTCGAATTATTTTTTGTTGTAAAGAAATTTGTAATTTGCCGTTTTTGAACAAGCGGCATCGTAAATTTCAAATTTTTTTACATCAAAAGTACCTAATTTAAGTTCCAAAGTAAATCCATTTTATAAAAAAACCGTGTTAAAATGGTAGAAACTGTTACTTAATGTATTAATTCTAAATAGACAAGACTTTGTAATAAAAACTGCAAAAATGAATTGCTGGTTGCCTATTTGCTATAGAGCCTTCTTATGGATGGAAACCGATGCATACTTGATTGTTTATAATAAATGAAAAAGTAGTACAAAACAGCCCTTTTTTTATTCCAAAATATCTTTTTAAAACAGTGGAAAAATGTAAAATTTCACATCACATTTGACAAAGAACGGACAAAGACAATAAAGCAAAAATCGATTGGGATAGGTAAATAATTTATGACAAATTAATTTCTAAATATGGTTTTTATTTATACATTTATAAACAAACGATTACTTTTGCATTGTATCATAGAATTGTGCAATTTTTTATACAGGGTATCCTCAAATTTCACCTACAACGTTTCACGACCTAAATACGATCTAGGAAAAAAGATAGAATTTAAAAATTTTCCGTTTTTGAGTTAGGGGCCTTTAAAGTTGTCAAATATAAAATTAATTTAATTAATAACTTCATAACCCTTTTACTACCCCTATGGCGTTAAAATTTGGCACACTTATTTAGACTATTATGCCATATCATTTCTTAAGGCTTTAGTCAAATTGATATACATACTGGGAGATAGTTTTCTCCTGTTACCTCCCCATTTTTGCGGTCAAAACTTTCACAGTGGTGGTATTTTTTTTAAACAAGCAGCACCAATGAAAAGGTTGTTTTATTTAAAAGAAAAATTGTCTCTTGAGAAAATCATCTAGAGAAAGCAAATCTTGAGAAAAATGGCATTATTTGCAGGTCTATATGTTTCGGTTTTGGTAACAGTGTCAGGGATTTAAATGTTTGAATTCAGTAGGCGATGAAAACAAAATTTTGATTGCTGTGGCCATGGAGACCACACAAGGAGCCCGAACTCCATGTAAACAAAAATCTTAAAAAAATAAGAGGGCGCTAGTGTTCCATATGTATCGTTAAATTATTTTCGAGACTTTTTATTTACCATAATAAAAACATATTGTAATAATTATTGACTTTTTAGGTTAGTATATACCTCCCCGATATATCTACTAAACTCATTATAAAATAAAATTGGTTATTTGCTTACATCACTTGTATTTATTATGCTACATTCGCTTAGGTTACATGAAACACTAGCGCCACCCCAACTTCTGCCATTTCTTGGACAAATTTTGACAATTTTCCCTTATGAGTCCGTACTCCTTGTCTAGTCTCCCTGGCTGTGGCTATCAGGTAATGTCATTATTATCGTGTTTCTTTAGGACTCCCATCACTCCATACATGCAAATTATGAAAATTTACAATTCCATTCCTTATAAAACAAGATTCGTTGGTAAAAACTAATTTTTGAGGTGAATTATTATCTTCTGGAAAGCCATTCACCAGTCAGCGGCAAAATTGTAAAAGTGCGTTGGGATCTCAATTTTCAAGTTCTTGAGCAGGAGTTAAATGAAATGGCCAAAAAAGTTGCTGTTTCAAAGTTCCATGAGCATAGTTTAAAGTACATACATTTAATTTGCGGCACTTCTTCTTGGCATATTTTACGTCAGGTGGAAACTGACGAGGGCGACTGGCCCTTACAGTATATTTTTTAAAAGAATCATGGTCTCGTAATCTTCTGTTAATTGAAGCGAACGTAGTATGGGGAGTAATTCGACGATTCGGGAATCTATCACTGTCCATACAATGATCGGCAGCTGGACAGTTGATCCTCCACCCTCCTAATATTAAATGAATGTCGGCAAGCTCATTGAATGAATATTTCATGTTTAATAAAACGATATTTATAAAAAACTTCATCCTAAATAAATTAATGTAACGAATTTAAAAAACTAGCAAAATCAATTAATATTAAAACAAAACTAGAATAACAATACACTGCCATTTAGGGCAAATGATAATAATAATATTGGCTTATAGCCACAGCAATCAGCATTTTGTTTTCATCGTCTATACTCAACTAAAAGTTTTAAATCCGTGACACTGCTACGAAAGCCGAAACATATAGACCTGCAAATAATGCCATTTTTCTCAAGAATAGCTTTTTGTAGGCGATTTTCTCAAGGGACTTTTTTTAATAATAAATAATATGCCGTAACAATAGAAGGGTAATGAAGTTATCAATTAAATTTGTTTTATTTTACTAACAACTTTGAAGACCTGTAACTCAAAAATAAAAAAAAAATTATTTAACTTTTTTTTATGGATCATATTTATTTGTCGTCGTGAGCGTGCAGTCAAACGTTGTTGGTGAAATTCGCGGACACCCCGTATACTTAGTTAACTTCTAATAAATAAACTGATTAGATTTTATTTTATAGTTTGTCCAGAATTTTATTATTAAAAAAGTTACATTGGAATAAATTTATCAAATAAATATTATATAGGAAATAGGCAACCAGCAATTCATTTTTGTAGTTTTTATTACACAGTTTGTCTAAATGTGAATTAATGCATAAATAATAGACTTTCAACCATTTTAACACAGGTTTTCTATAAAATGGGCTTAGTTTGAAACTAAAATTTATTTTCGGTGTAAAGAAATTTGTAATTTACGATGCCGCTTGTTCAAAAGCAGCAAATTACAAATTTCTTTACGACAAAAAGTAATTTCATTATAAAACTTACTTCATTTAAACATTTACTATTTTACCATTTACCATACCATTTTAAAGTGGACATTTCAACGGTTGAAATGAGCCCGGGTAGAGTATTAAAATCGGAAACAAAATCAAGAAAATTTTTAGTGGAAAATTGTGTAATTTTTTTGGAGATCCGTTAATATCTGGAAAACCACTTGTTGTTTTCCAATTTCCAAAAAAAATCATGCTTATTTGCTGTAAACAGGGTGCACTTTTACAAAGTTTCATGTAAATTGCATTGTTTTTGCGAGAGAAAAAAATAAAAACGAAGAAATCGGTTTTCCGCGATTTTCTCTTGAAATTTGAGGTTATGTTGAAAGATATCCTGTATAAAAGTTTTTCAGTTTTTTATTATCTGCAACCTTTGTGTAGAACAATTTACGCTAGGAGATCATATGCCAAATATCGCAAAAAATTCATTTTCAACCCCTAAACACCAGCCTCATTTCACAATTTTCCTTTATCTTGAGTTTAATTTTCCCACTGGTCCTTGCCTGTTCATTTTTTTTTGTTTTTTTTTCCAATAAGGTATTGGCACTAGCCTACTAGTAGTTTTTAAGTAAAAATAGATATTCAAATTCATAGTGATCCATCACAAAAAAAATTATTGAAATATCTGTAGCGATGACAGAGTTGTCTTAAAAATTTGATTAAAACATTTTTATTTTTTGTCTAATAAAATGTTATTGAGGTATCTTCATCTAAATGGGTTTATTTTCTTCCAAGCAGGCTGTCCTTGAAGAAGGTACGTCTCATTCACTTCCGGATGTCCTGCGTATTTCCAAGGCGGTCTTTGTTTTAGTATGCAGTTATTAAAAAAATAAAAACAAACTTTCTATATACAAACATATTTTTTATATTTTGTGGAATATAATTTTCTTTTTACACAACGTTCTTATTAAAAAATATGAAAAACTAAATGAGAGGAAATTTTGACATTTTCCTTTAAAAGTAAACAAACAATCAATTCCTGCTGCAAATAAGGGATAAATGGAAAGACGGCAATGTGTACAGAGCTTTCATAAAATATTACAACTTCGCGACCACCAGATGAATCGTTTTTTGAACTGAATTCGGCAGGGAAAGACTGTATAGAAGTATTATGGTACAGTGCTGACTTGTACAAAAAAGTGTAGAGACGCGAGGTGGTCCTTAGACAGAGTGTTGATGTGCCTCCGATCCAATTAGTGACCTAGATTGTAATTGTGGATAACCGAATCAAACTAGTACTATTTCAAGATAACTCAAAAGGGGAGTTAGAAAAAAATGTTTTTTATAAAAGTTGTAGAGCATAAAAATGGTGTATTGACTTTTTCTTGTACTATCAAAATTAACAGAGTTAGGGAGGCTAGAAGTTGTTAGGGGGCGATTCCAGAAATAGTAGAAAAATTAATAAATTTTATAAAATTTTTTTTTCAATCTACTCTAAAATCTGTAAACTTTCTTCTTTTTAATAATTTTATTCCAATATAACTTTTTAAATAATGAAATGTTGAACAAACTATGAAATAAAGTCTAATCAGTTTATTTATTAAAAGACAACTAGGTATATAAACAATTGCATAATTCTATAATGCTATGAAGAAATAATCGTTTGTTTGTAAAATTCCAAAAGACCTTCATATTCAGAAATTAATTTCTCACGAATTATTTACCTATTCCAATTAATTTTTGCTTTACTGTCTTCATTTATACTTTGCCAAATGTGATATGAAATTTTACTACTTTCTTCCATTGCTTTAAAAAGTTATATTGGAATTAAAAAAAATGGCTGTTTTCTACCATTTTTCGGTATAATTTAGGCAACCAGAGATGCATCAATTTCCATCCTTAATAAATTCGACGTAAAATTTTCATCACAGCCAAATAAGTTTATATTTTGTAATTATCGATAAACAACTTTTTTAAATTTTTGTTGTCTAGGTATGTCATATCGTTTAAGCATAATGATAATAATACTTTGTAATTATTATGTTCTTTTTATTACAGAATAACCTAACCTATATCGATTTGTTGACTGTTTTTACAACTATTTTCAGATAAATCATCGTCCAAAATTTCCAATTTCAAGACATAGGAAGATGGTAGAAATACTTGGTGATATGTCAGATCCCTTATGTCATGTAGCGGATTTAGCAGAATTCATTCGCTTAGTTCATCCGGAAGCAAAACATAGTCGAGCTGCTGTGGTGACATAATAGCAACTACATCAATTGACAAGCGTGTAGGTAAATTATTTCTTTTTGATTTTGAACAGTGCGGTATTCATTTATCAGAATGATAATAATTTTACTTAATCTTGGACACCGATTTGTTACTGGAACGGCCAGCCCTAGAATGGTTAAGAAAAGTCTGTTACCGAATAATGTCAGTGATGTGTAAATAGACCTTTTAAAATTGGGTTATCAATTTGCACACTTATCACTAAAGACCGGAAAAATAAGCACATTTTAAATTTAAAAAAGTACTTAAAAAAGCACATTACTTTGCAAAAATAAGCACATAATATGTCAAAAAAATCTCGAAAAAAGTTTTTATTGAATGCATTATTTATTTGTATTAAAAATAGTGATACAAGTTAAAGTCAAACATATTTAGATAAAATAAACAGGAATTTTTTATATCAATAAAATTCAAATGAAAAAGAAAATATATACTTATTCAAAAATAAAAATAGAACCAGAAACTAAATAAAAAGTACTTTAAGATGAAAGTAAAATAAGGGAATAAGGAATTATAAAACAGTTGATAATCAAATATTGTTCCAAATGTTCCATGGTAAGATTATGTCTCTTGTCATTTAAAATATGTTTGTATGTGGAGAAACTTCTTTCTACATCCACACTTGTAATAGGTGCATATTTAAACCTAGCTATAATGGCGGGATCCATGTTTAAATTCGAAACATTTTTACCACTCAAATTAGATGAAATTTTTTCTAATATCTGATATCCCGTATTTTTTGCAACAATTCGGTCCATTTTTGTTTTCTAACTAACTCTCCAGTGGGTCCTGCAACAGTATTGATTGCGTTTTTAAAGTTCTGAATCATTTTAATTGATTCAACTAAAGGCACTTGCTGCTTTTCCAGTGATTTGATGGTTTGGGCTACAGAGTTAAAATTGCTTTTGATATAAGCCAAATTGTTTTGCAACTCGTGTTGTTCAAGAACACTTTGGCAGTCTTGTATTGACTTACTCACTGTTTCCGGAAATTCAAAAATTAGTTCTTTAAAGTCTTCGAAATTATTTGCATAATAGATAGCTGCGTCCAACCAAGTTCCCCATCTGGTAAGTACTGGTTCTGGGGGTAGTGGAATATTAGGTAACTTTTCTTTAAACATTTGCACCCTTAAAGGTGCTTTAATAAATATTTTTTTCCCGTTACTTATTAACTTATTGACTAAAGGAAATTGCATCCTTATAGTTTCTGCGATTCGATTAAGCCCATGTGCCAAACATGTGCAGTGTATTAAATGTTCATAAAAAATCGTTAAATTCGAGGCAGTTTTTACCATATATGCTGCTGCGTCCGAAAGCATAAGTAATACTTTTTCACTTGGCACAGCTTCAGGTAAAAAAAAATTTGCCAGTCCTTCATTAACAAACTTGGATATTGTATTACTGTTAGTTTTATTTAATTCTTTTGAGCTAATTAAATACCCTTTTGTTGGAATTTTGTCGTTCAAAACTCCAATAACTAAATTTGCAACGAACCTTCCACAACTGTCAGTAGTTTCGTCAACGGCAAACCACATATAATTATTGCCAATAATTGTTTTAATTTGTTGCATTGTTTCTTTGTACACAGGTGTAACATAGGTTTTGCGGAGGGTACTTTTCATCTGGAACACGTCGTTTGCTATATTTTTCAAGAAATTGCTTGAAATCGGGATTTGTTAATTTATTAAGAGGTATGTTTGCTCTTAACATGGCTTTGCACATATCTAAATTAAATTCCATCGGTTCATTGAAGCCAGAAGTTGATGCTATGGATGTCCCAATTGGCTGCTGCTTAAGTGTTTTATTTTTTAATTTTTGTAATCCGTGTTCCATGTGTATTCTTGTTTTTAAATGTTGAGTAATATCGTACTTTTTAACGCATCGAATCTACAAATTGAACGTTTAAAACAATTGATACCTTTAAAAGAACTACCCATACTTACGGTTTTAATGCACGCCTGGCAAAATATTTTTTTATTTTCAATTTTTAATTCTGCATGACCCGAAATCCAGTCTTCAAACAGATTTTTAGGCATTTTATATAACTTATTAATTTATTATTATTTATGAAACAAAACTGAAACACACAAACTCTACACAGGCACGACTGACTAGTGACTAGCAACTAGCAACGCTGCAGATTAAGCACGGATATTCATAAATCTGAAACTCGATAGAGCATGCGCTCAGTTTCAAGGCGACGCCAGTGCCGTAACATATTAATTTTACGGCATCATTTATTAAAAAAATAATATCTAAGCAGTTTGTCAAGAAAAATTTAATAACCGAAAAATAATTTCTAAATAAGCAGTAAAATGAATAATAAGCATCAAAATTAATAATAAGCATAGGTGAGGGAAAAAAAGCAAAAAAGGCTTGAACAAATACATGTCAAATTGTTTATTTTTATGAAATTCGTATAGATATTAAAACAATTTGTTGCTGCTTTTAAAATCTAACATAAGCAAAAAAGCTTAAAATCCGGTCTCTAGTCATGACGATAATGATTTGTTCTTGGTGTTGAATATTCTTGGTTAAGGCGATATTGCCCATTGTCCATTTTATAGTTAGAATGCATTGTATACCTTTCGGCATATTGCTCATTATTATTCTGGATTATAGAATGGTTAACTGACATGAAAAATTGTATATTTTTTTGTATTACTCTCATTAGCTCAAGCTTTGTGGAAAGTCTTTTATATTCCGGATTTTTTTTTAAATCTAGTAGTGAAAAAGGAACGATCTATCTGAGTCCGATTCCAGCATATTTTCACGCTCTTCTCTCGTTTGTTTTAGTATTTTCAACAAACTCCCTCAGTCCTCTTCTTCAGTTTGTTTTCTTTTTTTTTTAATAGGTGAACTGCTGCGACCTTTTGGTCTAGCAGTATTGTTCTCATTTTCGCCATCGCCTGCAGTTTCACCCATGCTTCCTTGTGTGTTATTTATTTCAACAATATACTTAAGAAACTGTAGTTGATTAAAGTACACGTAAGGACTTTCACGTGCAGCTGCTAATCTGCTTTTGGCACCAGCTAAAAGTTTTAGTTCTCTGCGGAAACTAGTTGGTTTCAGGTATCTCACTACAGGATGTTCCATGGCTGAGTTGCATCATAATTTTAGGATTGAACATACTACTTGTTAGAAAAATTATTTATGAAGTATGTTTGGCGATTTGGAAAAAAATGAAACAGACTTTCCCAGACTTGATGGAAGAAGATGGATTAATATAGCAAATGGATTTGAAAAAAACGCTCGAAGCAATCGACGGAAAACATATAAGGATATAAAAACCAAACACTTCTGGCTCTCTATATTATAATTATAAAAACTATTTTTCAATCGTTTTGTTAGCTGTATGTGATGCCGATTACTAGTTCATTTGTATAAATGTTGAAGCATGGAAAATGCAGAGACTCTTCCATTTCCAAAAACTACATTTTGTATAACAAATTCGTCAACAAGAAAATACGGATACCAGAAAAAAAGCCTATTTCTACGAACAGGGTAGCAATGCCCTATGTTATTGTTGGAAATGAGGCTTTTGGTTTATCTGAAAATTTTATGCGACCCTACGGAGGAAGAAGTTTAACAGACAAAAAAGAATATTTAATTACAGACTATCTCGAGCTAGGCGTTATATTGAATGTACGTTTGGAATTCTAGCAAATAAGTGGAGAATTTTTCACCGTCCAATAGATGTACGAGGAAAGGTCTGGCTCTCTATCGCTTAAAATGTGCCTCGGGGCCCCCCATAGAGCTTATTAATTCTCTAACCAGTTATGAGCGAAAGGTCTGGCCTCTATCGCTTAAAATGTGCCCCATTGAGTAATTATTTTTTCAAGAATAAATTTAGCGGCCGGCCCAGCCTTTCCTNCATGTCAAATTGTTTATTTTTATGTAATTCGTGTAGATATTAAAACAATTTGTTGCTGCTTTTAAAATCTAACATAAGCAAAAAAGCTTAAAATCCGGTCTCTACTTATCACTCATCATTTTTATCAGAAGATGTTGCATATTGCTAGATGTCGACAAGTCTTATCCGCGATGTATGCAAGAGACATAGACAGCCACAAACAGAAATAAGCTGTTTGGCTACGACTGCAGGTTACATATGCATTTATGCAATATATCAAATTAAAATTAAAAACGAAACTTAATATTGATTTGGAGGCGGCCTTTTTATTTATAGAAGCTGTTGTGTGTATCTAATTATGCGATGCATTATACGAATATATTAAGACTGGCGGTTTGTAGACTAGAAATCGCACTTTTAGTACGACAGTGATAGAACGAATAAGTCCATGTGGGAATATTAGCGCGACACTAATCTAGAGCAACTTCGAGCTACGGCATAGCAATAATAGAGGTAAAAGTTTTTTTTATCGGTTACTACATATTTGCAGGACATCTAGTTGTCACCTGTCTCTCGGAGCCGCATTAAGGAAAATCAGCGCAATGAGCAACAATCAGATAAGTTTAACATGTTTCAAACGTAAGTTTTAAATCAAATGTATACGTATTATTTAGAGGAGAATTCACGAATGTTAATACTACTGTCAAATTAATTAAACATTTATTTTTTTCCAAGAACGTTACAATGCCGGAATTTTTTATCACTGGTCCAGACTTATAAGTTCTTTTATTCCACTCTTTTCACTAATTTTACTATAATATTCTGGCATAAACTGGCAAATAGCATTTTTAAAATATTTAGTTATTTGTGAAACGTTCATTATCTAAGTGTTGGAAGTACGGAAACATCGAGGAATAAATATGTAAATTGAATAACTTCTAATAACAACTGTGCTTTATTTCAGGCAATTCAAGTATAGCAAGGTCTAATTATTTTTCTTTTAAAGATAGTACATAATCAAAATAGTGAGGATGAATTATAAATTAGCAAATATCTGAGAATATGCATGCTACCAAGACTGTACATCTAAATGCTTATTTACTGCTAGTGAAACACAGTTACAGATATTTTACGCCGCAATAGATCAGGCATATCCTGGGAAGCATCCGCTAAAAGGTTCAACAACGGAAGTTTTAGCCGAAACCCAGAAATCTTACTATAGCTTACCATATATTGCAAATAGTGCATGGCAGCTTAGATTTAGTCATTCAGTTGGTTACGGAGCAAAATATCACTCATATTTAGTGTCGAGGGCCTTAGCATACTCGATCCGGCAAACGTATTTCGAAAATTATCCTTTCAG